CAACTCCCAGAATTCCCCAGCCAGCATGGTTGGCTGGGGAATTCTGGGAGTTGAAGTTCACTCATCTTAAAGTTGAAGTCCACTCATCTTAAAGTGGCCAAGTTTGGACAACACTGTATTAAAGTAACATATAGTTCAATTTGACACACACGCACCCAATTCATACAGGCACGTTTCACCCTTCTGCTCAGCTGTCATATGGCTTGCTTGGTTTTGGCTTAGTGTGTTGTGTGAACTCAACCATTGCAGTTGTAAATCACGACGGATGGCTGAATGCATTGAAGAATCCAGCCAGTTGTGGTCCATTCAGCAAAACATCGTCCATCAAATCAGGACCCTGTGCGGTGTGTGAATTCCACCTCCTTTTCAAGGGGATGGTCAATCAACGCCCCTCCATTCCCTGAAGGTTCCAGCCCAAAGTAGAAAAATTGCAGTATTTATTTACTAATTCAAATTGTACCGCCACCCATCTCAACAAGTGACTCTTGTTGAGTCAAAATTAGTAAAAACAGTTGCAATAATGCAAAAATTGAAACATATAGCCAAGAAAATGGCATATCCCATAATCACTAATGCAACCAAAAAACAGGTCCTTGCACACACTCAGAGCCAGGTCTTTAGGGCTAGCAGGATTGAGGCCACCCTGATCTCTGGAGGGACAGTGTTCCATAGGGAGGATGCTACCATAGAAAAGGCACATCTCTGAGGCCCCGCCAACGGGCCCCCCGTAGCCGATGGGACCCAAAGCACACCCATCCTGCCTGACCAGAATGGATGGGGAGAAGCAACTGGGGAGAGACAGTCCCTCAAGTAACCTAGTCCCAAGCCATGAAGGAATTTAGAGGTGACAACTGGCACCTTGAATTGCACCCAGAAGCACACTGGCAGCCAACGCATCTTACATTAGTGTTACACGTGCCAAATAACCGGCACCATTAACTACCCGTGCTGCCACATTCCACACCCTTTGACGCTTCCGAATGCTCTTCAAGGGTGGCCCCATGTAGAGCGCATTGCAGTAGTCCAGTAGTAGTGTTGCTGTTTAGCAAATGATCTGAGCCAATTCAGGCATGTGGTCTTGGGTCCTTCCCCACTTCGGGGATTCCTGGTGGAAATGGGATCTTGTTGTGCTGCTTTGAGCGCAGGGGGGTGTTTGTCTGACAGTACTGAGCAGGGGTGCTGAGTGCAGAGTCAGGACCGCCACAGCCTCCATCCTCACCTCTCTGCCTTCTTTGCAGAGAGGCAGCCTCCTTAGCGTGTGCCACTATGTTGTCGGCAGCAGCGGCCGAGGTCGAGACCGCTAGCCAGGCCTCTGAACCTGCCAGCCAAGCTTCGGACGAGGAGGAACTCCCAATCCCGGATATCTATTTTGTAAGCCACCTTTTCTCTTTCTGCCTAAAGCCGCGGTTGGTTTTGCTTTTCTCTCCTCCCTCCCGTCACTTTTCAACTCCCCTTGCTCCACACTTCCATTCAGAAGACTTAAACAAACCAAGAAACCTGAACCGAGGTATGGTCTTGTAACCCTGATCCACGTTTGTCCCCTTGCATTCGCCCTCTTTTTTCTGCCAGGTTGCTAGAGAAACCAACTGGGAAGTCTCTGCAGTTTTCCTTTCTCAGAAAATCTCAGGATTTCCTTGAAATAGATAGAAATACGGTCCGCTGGCCCTGCCAACTTTGCTTCTCCACCGCTTCCTGGCACGGTTGTGAATGGTCTTCTCACCTTTCCCTGCAGGCAGGAGGAAGTTCAGAGGAGGAAGTCTAGGGAGGCAGAACAGGGAGTAAGTGAGCCCAGGTGTGTGTGTGGCGTGTGTAATCATGCTGTGCTAGATTCTGTCTGTTAAACTTGGTAATTGTGTTCAGAAGATCTGGCAGAAACAGGCTCCATCTTTCCCAGAACCCAGGGCTCAATCTTGTGAAGCGTTCTTTGAAGTCAAGAGCCTCCAAGCGCGAGCCTCTCGGCTAAAAGGGAACATAATAAATTGCAATGGGAATGTTTTTTAGGCAAGGACGCCCAACCCTTTCATTGCAGCCAGAGTACCCCCGAGACACAGGTGTGTCCAGCTGCTTGAAGACAACCTGCAGGGGGAGTCCACCCATCCCCCAAATAATAATCAAATTGCTCTTCTTGCCAGAATATTCTCCTAATATTCTGCTGCAGTCTCTCCTCCGTAAACTTCAGTCCTGCACTCTGGGTCAGGAAAGAGCAAATCATGGCTACCTTCTAAATGTCAGTGTTTCTCAACCTTGATAGCTTTAAGATGTGTGGACTTCAACTCCCAGAATTCCCCAGCCAGCATGCTGGCTGGGGAATTCT